GTGATTTAACCTGACTAGTACTGATTCACACTATTACATGTGCTGCTGATATGATTAGTCAATTAATGTTAGCTGGTCATTTTGTAAGGAAGCTTTTGGAAATTATTTAAAATGCATCTGATCACTCTACACAATAATCTAGAAACAATGTGAATGAACACCACAACAGCTTAAGCAGCAAACTTTGCAAAACACAAAATTTATGTCACTGTCAAAAACTTTTGGCCTTGACTGTACATCTATGGCTTTTTAAAAAATTAGCACCACTAATATGTAACCTCCTTTGTTTTTTTATCCGAAAGATTTTCTAGTGACAAAGTCTGAACGTCTTTTGCCTACAACTTTCACGTTTCACCTTTTATTATACGTTGTGCAGTCTTTCACTGGTCTTTCACCCAGTATGATGATTGTTTGTATTGTGTCAGTAAGTTTTAAAAATCTTAATTTTCAAGGTCAACACTGCCCTCTTGTGGTCAATCAGAATTGCCTTAATTTGAGACTTACTACTGTTTTTAAAATAGAGCATAGCCCTAAGAGTCTGCAATTTTAGAGAGAGCCAAAACAATAAATAAATAAATGAATAAAATCTGTAGTTGCACTAGACGATCCATTGAAAAGCACTATATTAAAAAAGGTTAGTTACCTAAATAAGTTAGTTAGAAGCCTGGTAGATTAGTTAAATCAATGTATTTCAAAGATATGTACTTTTGTAAAAGAAGAATTTACAAAACAAAAAAAAAGACATTTGATTAATAAGCAGAAACAGAATTGGAAAGAAAGAAAACACATTTTTCTTCACATTAACATACACTTTATTCATATCAAGTATTTTTTTGTTGTTTAATTTTTAAAGACAACATTAAATACAGAAGGCACTTACAAAAATTGTTAAATTATAGAAACATATTAACATGGATTAAAAATAATAAGAAAAAAATTATAAGGACCAGAGATAGCGCCACATGGCAGCCTTGTACAGTGCATCTCAAGTAAAATCTACAGAGCGCTAATCTAAGTACAGTATAAAGAGGATTTATTGTTATTAGTTTAATGCCCCTACTAGGTTTTCCTACATAATTTCATCATTTGAAATACAGATAGCACATAATACAATTGTTTTTGTCACTAGTACGTGGTTCTTGTTTTTGTTGCGGTTTATTTTAAATGTTAGGCTTTGTGGTTTCTGCACGGAAGGAGTACTGGTACAGCTCGATCAAGCGGTTTGCCTCCTTCTGCCCTGACAACAAAGCACCATGGGTAGTGGAATAGTATTTTCTATGGGTGGCCTCCCCAGCAAACAATACCTGTAGAGGCTTTGGATAGAAGAAAAGAAAAGAACAACAAAAAGTTAGCTTGACCAAACATATGCGCTACCACATTACTGCCCTGGGGCCCAGTAAGCTATTTTAAGCATGAGCCTCTATCTTTCTGCTATAGAAAAGTGATTTAACAGTCTCAAACCTCTTGTTCTTTTTGTGCAGTGTGCTCTGAGGGGTCAGACTGTTCCTTTCAGACCCGCAATTGGCCAGAGCATGTGTGTGTGTGTGTGTGTGTGTGTGTATTTGTCTGGCCCTTATACAACTCAACCTTCTCATCTGACTCAAATTTCAGTCTCAGTGCTGCACAGCTCAACATGACCCATTTAAAAAAAAAAATAGTGCAAGCAAGCCTCCAGTCTGACTTTAGAGCAGTCATGGGAAATTTGAACAATGACACGAGGTGAAAAAGCCATGTAAGTGGTTCTAAACAGGATTCAAAGGTCTTTGATTCAAATAATCAGAAACAAGTAAAATGCCGTGGAAGGACACCTGCTGTTTTTGGTTTAATTGGCAGATAAGTTCATGGAAAACAAAAATCATAATTTGCCCACTATTCACTTATTTGCCCACTACATGAACATGCACCTAATGAGCAGTGATACTCAAATATACTTTGCTGTTCCAAAAAGATACTGCATAAATTCTGATGTTAAGTGCAAATGCCAATTATTTTGCAAATTTTGCTTTCAAAATTTATACAACTCAGTGGAGATTTCAACTTACTGGAGCCTTAGTGTTCTTGATATAAGGCAGGGGCTCAGCTAGCTTCTCCACATCTCTGCCGCTGGAGCCCACTCGAGTGAATGAGTAAGAACCCCGGATATAGGGATTACTGCCCCACGAGGAGCGCAGGATCCGCCTTGGTTTTGGAATATTCTGGTTCCCTGTTAGAAACATCAACCATGAAAATAAATTGACTATTTGCCAAATGCTACTAATTGATTTAAAAAAAAAAGATTTAAATTTATCTTAAATTGTATTGTTGCTACAATTTGAAACCCAGCTAATCAAGAGAATACACAAATCCTTCTTTCATTAAGTGTAATTTGAAGTGTTGTTCTTTTACGTTGATTTCTGTTTGTTTTGGTGGTGTGGGTTAAGTGGACACGTGTTGGACAAGGGAAGTTAATCTTAAGTCTACTGTCAAATAATGACAGAAATTAGGGTACCTTTCAATTATCAGTGGCAAGGTGTGACCAAATCCAATTTCAGCACACTAATTACTGTATATAGGACTGGGGCAGATGGGAGGGGAACCTGCTGTGGATCTGGATTAAAACAGACTGACCTAGTTAAGAGGCATGCCAGTCTGTTGACATCAACTACAGAGAATGTGCGCATTGACCCTTATATCTGACTTGTGTTCTGTCATGAAAGGGTTACAGTGGAAGAGAAACCAGAGTTGTTTACAGTACAATCTTTTACACAACCCTGGAAACTTTAGAGTTATTGTCAGTACGTTTACACTAGAAGCCTGACCGGGTCAGAGGTCCTTGTTCTTCCCTGATTTAACAGGTATATATGCCTTCTTGTGACAGAGAAATATAATTTAAAAGCATGACAAGCAGACAGCATTAATATAACCAGTTAAATGTATATGTGTGACAAAACAAACTCCTTGTTTGGCTGACAAACCTGATTGCATTCGATTCCTGAACCCCTACACAAATCTCCTGTCAGCTGGAAATTATCTACCTTGATTGATGTGTAAATGCAGCTCTCTAAGGCCCTGTTTAAACTTGGTATTAAGATGCATTTGGTCATTTGAATCACAGGTGGACAACTTTAAATACAGGTGTAAACAGGGTGTGAAATGTTTTGAGCTCGTCCACTTCCAGAGGTAGTCAAAAACGCATTCGACCGGATTGCTTTCGTGGTGTAGACGCTGATGTGGTCGAATGCGTTCGAGCAGCCACAAAAGACCGCCTACTCTCTGCCTACTGACCTAATACATGTGTAAACATTGCGAGACGTACAAGGATGCGCGCTTATCAGACGGGATTTAAACTTTGACGGGCCGAATCAGAAGTATTATTTTCTGATAACACGAAAAGAAACAACAGCAGTAAGTACAAGCAGACGTAATATTAGTGCGCGATAACTTTAGCCCTCCCAAAATGGGGAATTATATGAATCAGGGAATGGTACTGAGAAGCTAAAATCATTATGCAGATGACGCATTAACCATGCTCTTTCTGCTAATGACAAACACCAAAAACTGTAAGCAATACTCTGAAGTCTTAGTGGCAGTGGGAAATGAACTGCAATTCAACGACATACAGTACTACTGAGAATTAAGAGAGGTGTAATTTTTTGTTTTGTCACCCTGATAATAGTGCAGTTTAAACAGGATACAGTGTTACTCTTGGCGCATTGCTGACCTGTAAACTGACGCAGTAGTTCAGTGCATATCTCCGCTACAGTTTCGTCGTCACACCTTTCCATGCGCAGGGCCTCTTCTCCGCAGATCCAGCCACTCAGCATGTGGCCATAGCGTTCAGGCGGATACAGCACATCAAAGCTGCAGATCTTTCGGTACCACAGCTCTTCTGGGTATGCCTGGCTGTCCAGTTGCGCCTCGTCCTCCCACACAAACTGAATGCTGTTGCACTCGGGGCTCCAGAAGGGTTCTGCAAACTCCAGAAAGATCTTGTCGGTAGTACTAATGCCCAGTTTCTGGATGGCCTGTGCCTTGTCTAGTGGCAGTCCTGGGGAGAAGAGAGTCTCGTGAGCTTTCTTCAGGACCCCAAGAGAGGCCGTTACGATCACATGGTCTGCCAGCAGACACTCGCCGTCTTCACACTCCACACAGACTGGAGATGGGCTGGGTCGTTGGTCCTGGTTATGGTCAGCCTGGTCTACAATTTCCTCTGTATCATGGGAGCTGCAGTTCCAGTGGATACGGCGGACAGGCTTGCTGAGGTGGAGGACACGACTTGGGATGTCCTGAGCCAGGATCTCAACGACTTTAATGAAACCAGCGGGAATGACATGGTGAGCACCGGGAATCTCTGTCCACTCACCAAACTCACTTAGAGACACTTCATCCATGCTGGGGGAACTGCTTTCACAGCTCTCCACCTGAGGCACAAAAAAGATGTTAAGGAAAGAAGAAATTATGCATAAATCTACCAGCATCTTGCTGTTAAGGTGCTACTTGGCATTAAAACTGAAGTCTACTGAGTCCAGTGTTGCCAAGTCCGCCAGAATTGGGCTACTTTAACACTGTTGCCGCAGGTTGTTTTTCATGTCTGCAGGTTTAAGCGACCCCAATAACGTGATATTTAGAATTTTGAACGCAGGTGCTGAGGGGGTTAAAATACTCTGTCATTTTTGGATGTGCTTTCTGTCATCTCATGCAGTCTCCGTGAATGGAGCGCGTCACAACAATGAACTGGCTCACAGACATAATAAATAAATCTACAGAAAGCTTGAAATGTCTAGCCTACTATTAAACAAACCAATTCAAATAAAAAACAAATCTTCTGTAGTTATGTAGTCCTTATGAACATTTCTCTATTAAAGGCACATCCATTAGCCTACTGTGGAGACGGCGAGTTAGCGCTGGCATTCGGCAACTTCATCTTTGCAGCCGACACTGACTGAGAAAGCACTAGTTTATTAATAAAAAATTAAAATGTCTTCTTTTTCCCCGATGCATTCATAATCATTACTTTAGCCGGTGCTTTGCAGCAATTATAATACGCCTAAATGCCTATATTAAATGTAGCGTCTGGACCAATCAGACACACCATTTTTCATTTGATTTAACAAATCAATTATTCATTAGATTAACAAACGTTCACAGACCCCTCACCCAATAAACATACTGGGTGCCAAGTTGTCTGTGAGGACGGTTTAGTAGGTTATTATACTAATCAATTTTATATAAATGTGCGAATAGTTGACTAGAAAAATCTTTAGTCGGAGGCAGGTCTACTTGGCACAAGGAACCAATCCATTTTTTAAATAAAATGCTGACATTACAAAATGCGTGACTGCAAATCACGTCACATTGCATTGCAGTAGTTCCCTCTCGAGAACGGTCTCTCGACATGGACCTCTCTCGCAGTCTCTCGACTGCGGCGCAGCCCCCAGCACAGAGTAGATCGTTGTCTGCTTCCAACCGGCCATCGAAGCTTGCACCAAAACTCCGTGGCACAGGACACCGAAGGCGCGGCATGGCTTCAAGAAAGGCGGCTGCCCCAGGGGCGCTCCTTTGTCGGAGCAAAAGCCTCGTTCCTGATGGGAGGGTATGGAGGAGTTCGCCTTCACTGGCGTTGTGCAATAAGATTTCAGGTAGGTTTAGGAAGGAAGGGAGTCCCCAAAGCGTCAGCTTCTGATGCCATGTCTTGTTCCCGTCTCTCATGGAACCGAGGTTACTACAGTAACTGGAGACGTTATGCATGTGTAATGAGTCAAATGTTTTTATTTTATTTCATTTTTTATGGGGGTGCTGGAACACCTGCTAGCCCCTCCCTAGCGCCGCCCATGATTTTAACCCCCGGAACGCAATTGGGCTAGTTTTGAGTAGCAATTGGGCGGGTTTTGTTTTGAAACCCTGGCAACCCTGACTGAGTCTGATAAAGTAACCATTCATGAATAGCCTTGCAAAGCTTCATTTACTGTTGTTTTCACACAGTAAATGCTTGAACTCTGCTAAACACACCATTTACTCTAAGGTTACAGTTCCAAACTATACTGCTGTAAACAAACACAGGCAGTCTAGCAGACATATATCCAGCTGAGTGCTTTTTCTGGTCCTGCCTCTTCCTCCCATAACCTCTAGCATTACAGGATGACATTCAATGTCTGTCCTACTTTTACCTCAGTAATCCAGAGCTTTCATTACTATCAGAATTTCTGTGAATAGCCTGAGTGACAAACAGTACTGTGTGATGTTTACAAAGAGATTTAATTATTCCATGAATTGTAAATACAAGCCCATTGTGAGTCTAGGTCAAAGTGTTTAAAATTGTCAAATGATTAAAACAGTTGTATGTTTTTAATCCACACCTCTGTGGGCGGAAGTCTACAGTTTTGTTTTTCGCAAGAGAAACTCAGTTGCGACAGTGGGAAAAGGAAGCATGTATGGCAGTGAGCTTGACGTCACTGTTGTCTTACAAAGGTGTGGACACATGTTTGATGTTGTCATAGAGTTGCAGTAAATCTGCTCACGACAGGAACTCAGCTATTTCCGGTTGTGGCTTGTTACGGAGATGACAAACATGATGCCACACCTATAATTTCAAAATCAGTTCTATAGAGATATATCTTTATTTTTAACTATTCTGTGGCTAAACAAACCATGATTTGCTTATGAAAAATCTCTCTAAAACATTAGAGCCCTGCCCACCTTGAGGTACTGTTGTAGCATAGATAACTTGAGTTTCTTGGTGCTTTCTGAGTCATAGGGATCTAGCATGATCTTCTTGCGCACCACATCTCGTGTGAAGATCCCAACACTGTTTTGACTCTCGGCTCCCACAGGCTTTCCATTCTGGAAGAACTCCTGAGTCAGCTCATACACCTCCGATACGGTCTGAGGCTTCTAGCACCGTGACATTGGTGAAGCCGTTCTCCAAAAGGGTTTTGGTGGCGGCAAGGCCGGCCAAGCCCGCACCAATTACTACTATTCGCGGTTGTCGATGTCTGTGTAAGGCACTACTAAGAGGATCATCAGTGCTGTCTGAAGATATTTCACAACTTTGCATGCCGTCCAAACTCTTCTTCTAGGGAATCTGGGGAAGGGTGAGATGGGGAGAAGCTATTAGAGTAAACACCAAGCCCTCCAGCAAGACAAATAAGAGAAATTATTCACAGAAAGGAAGAAAAGAACACATCAAAGATACAGAACATTTTATACTTTACATCTTTCACCATGTGGTTTGTAGGAATGACTGCAACACAGTCCCTTTTCAAGCCATAACCTTAAATAACACCAATATCAAAATAAGGTTTCTTATCTCCAACTTCATGTTGAAAGTGTTTATATCACCACTGCAGTGCTGAACAAGAATAAAGAGAAAGCAAAAAGGCCGGTGAAGTGTGAATTTGTGTCCTCAGATGGGTAAAGTCTTAAAATGAGAATCAGCGTGGAACAGAGCAACACACTTGCAACAACATAATGGAGAATGTAAAATGTCATCATATAGAGTCCATTACACTAGCGAATGGAAAAGGTCTGTATGTGGCTGTGAAAATAATTGCACTGTGATAGCCATTCATGAAATGAATGTGCTCTTCACATTTCCACTGAGCCTTTTCAGGCAAGGTCTTCACATAAACACACAAGCTTATGTGTGTGACAGCCACAAGGAAAAGATGCACCTGATGTTGGACAGACCTTGTAAAAGAAGTTTATCAAGGACCTGAACGGGGAATATTGTTATGGTTACAGGATGTTATTATGGTGGACTAAACAGAATTTTTCTTTCATCAAAGTGAAAGGACAATGTTCTCTTCTTTATGCACACACTCCGTATCTGTCAACATTGTTATTGTACCCCGTAGGCATAGCCACACACGTGCAATGAGGAAGAGATGGACAACTGTGAATGAATATGATTTAAATGAATGAGGTTGTGGCTACTTTGCTCTCAGTACAAACCACAATAACCTCCTGTTGGGAGTTTGCACAGGCCAAATTCATTAACACAGTTTGTTATCAGACTGTGGAGAGGACGGGGAGGGCTGCCTGTGGCTTCTCTGATGCACAGTGACAATCAGAATATTTATTATAAATACTAAAAGGAGCTAGCTTGGTGGCTGCATTGTATCTGTTAAGGCATGAATGGGTTGTTTCCTTCTTGAGAATTCTTAGCATGTGACTTCAACTGAATTTAGCCACACATCAGCAGATTTTAAATATGGCTGAACGAAAAACTTTAGATGGTTTGTTACATTTGTTAAATTGATTTCCTGAACACCATTTTCCAAAGGTAATTGATTCACCATGCAAAAACAACCAGTGTCAAGGCAAAATAGCAAAACATGAAACATTATCCTATGGCTATAACATGAAGTAATATGTATGTAATAAGGATTAGGTAAATGCATAATATTTTGTTACACTGAACTGCTGGAAGCATGAAGCATACTAGAAATCTCTATATGTGGCCTACAGCTAGAAAAACAACCCAACTATAGACGAGCTTTGCAGCTGTATATCCAAAATTACAGTGAAGACAGCTTTTCCAGATTCTGAAAAAGATAACACTAATGCTTTAAGAAGTTAGACCAATTTTGTCAGTTTTTGTCAATTTTGTCTCTTTGGTTAGTGCCAACAGTGATAGTATGAGAAGTGCCTGATTCTTGGATTAATGCTTGTCAACTGAATGGGTCCCTTTAGCAAACTAAGCTTGTGAATGTGTGTTGTCTCATTGATCTGCATTGACCTCCTGTTGAACTGAGAGAAGCAGTTTATCGGTGACTCACGGCCAGAAACTCCTATGGCAAGGACGCTCTACAGTGAGGTGGAGAGGTTCTTTGATGGCGTCCTGAAATGGAAAGGCATTACAAACAGCTGTACCAAATAAAACCTAACTACAGACATTCGCCTTTTTTCAACACAGTGGTTATGGTTGAGAGGGTTTGTGTACGAAACTTTGTTTGCATGAAAAAGTCCTTGCCTTGTGGTACATCTGGTTTCAAGGCAGAAGCAGAAGGTCATATCTTGTGAAGTTAGGATGAAGCCAGAACGGAAAATAAGATTTAGTGTGTGTATAAGGCATGGTTTCCATTGTTCCAGTCCATCGATCCTACATTAGATGACCCATATCTCAAACTTTTTTTTTTTTTAACAAACACTTAGGTTCCCAGTTAGCATCAACTTGAAGTTTTGATGTTGAGGATGTTTTGCCACTTTTCTACCAACAGGGTACTGGGGTTGGCGACCAACGTAGAACACAAGAAACCGCTGACGTTTTCATAACAACAGCAAATCTGGCAAAACTGACACAAAATGAAACTAGACTGATCCAGAGACATTGCTTAACATAAAAAGAGAAGTAACTACTGTATTTTGAAATTCTCCTATCTGAGCAACCTCAAATAGCACTACTCTTACATCACTGTGGCTCAAATAATTTTTTTTTTTCTCTTTCAGTGGACTTTATGGGTGTTATCCTTGTAGCAGGATAATAACAACGCAAGGTCCCGGCACCTCACTTGCCACAGATTAAGGGTGGGCTTTGGGGGACGTATACACTCTTCACAACCTACATCCTCTATAATGCCTTCTCTTTTTAACGAAGCCGGCAGAGGAATCTTTTTCCTGGTGGGATACAATCTTGTAGCTACAGAAAAGGATTTGATCTATACAAATTAATATTAGCCTATTACTATTACGCTCATTTTAAAATCCAAACATGATTTTAAAAAGTAACCGTGTGTGCATAAAAGCCCGAAGCACTGGGAGTTGAGATAAGCGAAGTTTGGCTGCTGAAAAAGTAGCCGCACAAAGTGCGTTCAGTGGAATCCGCGCTGCCACGTAACTACATACAGTCACCGGCGAGTGGCCTCCAGTGATAAGAAAATAAACGGCAACCTATAATATTTACCAAATATCCTTTTCATGAAATCAGCCATCACCTTTTACTGTACCTTTTTCAGGTGACTGAACATTTAAGTCATAATTTATGTGTCAGCGCATTATTAGATGCACCTCAATGAAAACTGCATTGTAACAGACAATGCACTGTGCTTTCGAGAAAAATAACGGGAAAAAACGAAAAAGACAGAGAAACATCTTCTGTCCGATATGAAAACACTGATCAGTCCTGAGAGTCAGTTTTGTTTACGATTTTGTTTGGATTCACCGTTTCTCCATTAACAACCTACATCATTAAAACGCGCAGTAGGCTACTGTAGCAGTGAAAACACACACAAATCATCTTTTAGTATTCATCTATGTAGTATGGCCTTTACCTGACTTTGTCGTCTTCAGCGTAAAGCGGAGAGCGATCCTCTGTTCTTAGTTTATTCGCAGGCAGCGTCTCGCTTTGTGTTTATGTGTCTTGAAACCAGAAGCAGCCAGTTTAGTCGATGCCGCTGCCTCCTCGCTGAATAAATATGAGGAACCGTGACGTACCGTCACGAAACCAACACCGGCTCTCGAGCGAGTCTTGGCGTGACTCACTGTATGTCACAGGGGCGTTTGAACTAAACGCAAAGCCCACACCTCTTATAGCCTAGTAATGAGAGAGTAGAGCTTGTTTTGTTCAGTCTTGTTAGATTACTGCGAACGCCTATCCTTAAGCAAACAAACAAATAAATGAATGGTTGAATAAATGTATCAATCAATATTTCAAATTGAGTGTTTACACATGCTGTACAATTACTTTCAAGTCGTTATAGCAATAAGTTCATGTCTACATGAATTAATGGCAAGATGCTCTTTATTCAGGGATTTCAATAAATGCGATTCATAGAAATTAATATATATCTACTATGTTTTTGGTTTGTTAATTTGAGTATTTTTGTGAAGCTAATAACAAAAAAGAATAAAATAACAAAAAAAAATTGATATTCATAACTCTAAGCTTCATCACATTTGTAAAATAATAATTTTTACCTTGAATTTAACATGTTTTTGCAAGGTGCAAGGATTTTTTTTTTTAATCTTTGGTTATATCCCTATTTATACCAACATTTATTTATTACAAAATGATATAAACTCATTTATAACGATACTCAGTGACTGATACAAAGCAAAAGGAAATTCTATTATGAGGTGAGGTTCTATTATTTTGGTTTCTTTATACATGTTTCAATACATGTGGGGATATTTTTAATCTTTAATTTGCCTAAAGATTATTTCTGATCCAACCGCTGTTATGTAATTCACAGAACTCCGTAATATGGCATTGCTATTGGGTAAAAGATGTACTTTTTACTCGCTTACGAAGATTAAATGCAACCTTTGAGACTAATTTAATCAAGCGGCAGTCTGATTTTAATGTGTATTTGAATCTTTAAAGGGATTAATCCCATCAGGCTTGAATTCATTTTTTTTCTAGCTCTCATCTCTTGTTATTGTTCTAATATAAACCCAGTTCAGCAGATTCACAACCTCCTTTTTTTAGGTTCAATAGAACACGGTGTCCTTGTGGCACGTTGTTGGTTACTCACTTTGTCACGTCTGTACTGTTCATGTTCTGATATGATTAATCCTAAATAGATCATTTATCTTAGAAATGCAAATAAAACTTGATAGTGATTTAGTTCAGGGTGCGTTGGTTTATGCATTTATCTAATCATTTTTACACTGTGCAGTCTGCTCTATATCATGTTTTCCCTCAATTCATAGAATATGACTATTTGCTATGAAAACTTATATTAGGAAACCTAATTTAATAAAGGCCTGGTATATTCCATCATGCGATTAAAGGCCTGCATTCTACAGGCTTTAGTTTAAAAAAATAAATAAATCACAAGAGGATTAGCAGTGGTCAGTATGTTCCTGAGATGTAAAACCCAGTTAAAACCTAGTTAAAACCCATTCATGAATGGGTGCCAAAGCACAACTCATTAAAATGAAAACACTGAGGATTAGAAGCGTTCCATTTGGGAATTGGGAAAAAAATAAAAAATACTTGTGATCCCAGATATAGTTACAAAGGTCCAATGCCAGCCTGTTTTCTGGACTGTTTATTATATAGCAGTATAATTTGTGTCATTCAAAGCTATATTTTGGATGTTATTACATCTAAGCGACTTAACAACATTTTTTATCTAATTAAGGTTCTGAGAAAAAAAAAAAAAACACAGTGAGAAGTGCCGGGTGGAGCAGAGGTGATTGTTGACAGTATAATCTTCTTTCAAATTTAAAGGCCGGTCAGATTCCTCTGTTTTGAAAACACTGCATATACCTCATTAACATCCTTTATTTGGTTTTAAAATGTCATTTGCCACTGGCATATGAAGTATTTCACACTCATACACAGATAAAGATATGCTTGTTGTGCTGTTTTGTACATTCTCCAAATTAGTGTTGACTGGATGGAAAATGCTGTTGCTGCTGATAGAAATTATCTGTTGACTGAGTTTATTTAATTACACACAAACATGCATGTGTGCGGGCATAATTACCCATAAACACAATGAGTCTTTCTAATCTTTGAGAAATCACCCACATTACTTGCTAACAGCGGTTAACCACTTTGAAACGAGTCTAATACATGCAGTCGCAGGCAAACCACACTGTCACTGGTTTCAGTAACATATGTGCTCTACTGTGTATGTGTTATCTGGATGATTTCAAAGCAAGCTTGGCCACACAGAAAGGCTGCTGTTATGTGGGCAGCACGTGAATGGACACGAACCTCTTGAATAAGTGGAACAAAGTGGAATGTGGTAACAGGCCATCACCAGTAGACTGGTCTACTAGAATGGCCCTTCTGTTGGTGACTTCAGTGCATAGCCTGCACATTGTGAATGCTGCCTGCCTAGCCTCCGTTTTCTCTAGCAGTCCAATTGGCATTGGCCATGTGCCTCAACAGTACAAAAGAGAAGGAAGAAAGTGTATTTTCATGAATGGGAGGAGAAAGCAAGCACAGGAACTGGGTGGAATCGTTCTCATTAGGCAGCTTCATTGTGGATGTTGGCAGTGGCTACCTTGTGGGCTGAACTAAGATTTTGTGCTGTTATGCTTATGATTAATGCTATCATTTTATCTGGAATGGGGAGGCTCTTTATATTTTTAGGAATTTATATCATGGTTCCTTCTGAAATTTGCAGGAACAGTTCATATAGCTATATATCAAGCCCCAAAAGTACAAAGAAGAAGCATAAATATGGCATGTTTAACTTGTGAGCAACATTCTAAGAATGTAACTTTTAAAACAACGCTAAATCAGTGCTATTCTCTAAAGACTGAGACCAAATTCAAATGCGATTCCCAGTATAAAGGTTTTACCAGAGCCATTTGATCCAGGACCAGCCTTGGAAACCTAACACACACACACACACACACAAAAAACATTTGTTTGTCTTTTGTTTAGAACTTTGAGCAAGAACACTTACACTGCTATTCAAAAGTTGGAGGGCACTGCGATTTAAAAGAAAGAAAGAAATTACTACAGAACTACAATTAAAGGGGTCATATGATGCTATTTTAAAGATCATTATTTTGTGTATTTGGTGTAACAGAATATGTTGACATGCTTTAATGTTCAAAAAACACATTATTTTTCAAATACTGTACATTATTGTAGGTCCTCTATGCCCCGCCTCTCTCAAACCGTGAACGTTTGGGCGGCGTTATGCAAATCTTCCGAGATCGTGACGTAGGTATGTGGGGGTGTGTTAGAACGAGCCGTTTTAGGTAGGCGTGGTTGACTCTTAACTTTTATAAAGAATATCTCTTTGGATTTGAGACTTTAGTCTTTGCAACTTTACAGATCTTCTTTATGCACCAAGAGCTTGTAACACTCCAAAGAGAAAGGAAAAATTGAAATCGCATCATATGACCCCTTTAATAAGCAAAGATGCATTAAATTGATCAAAGTGACATTGTTACAAAAAAAATGTTATAGATGTTGTTCTTTTGAACTTTTCATTTATCAAAGAATCCTGAAAAATGTATTGGTTTCCAAAAAAAAATAATAATACAGCACAACCATTTTTATCTGTGATAATAAGATTGCATTAAACAAAGAAATGTTCATGGTAACATTTAAAAGAACTTGATTTATTTAAGTTTATTCAAGACCATCACAGCCTGACTACATGTGGGTTACACAAATTAATCTAAAAGTAATTTAAAATGGTCCGATCAGATCAATAGTTCAATCAATATGTGTCACGTGTACGTTTCTGTCTAGTTCCTGTTTGCCCCTATTTGGTTCATTTCCTGCTCATTTAGTTAATCATCATTCATTAGTTTCCACCTGTGTTGTATTAATCATCTTGTTTGCTCCTTAGTTGCCTGCCCTTTATAAGCCCTCAGTTTCTGTCATTCCTTTGTCCTGGAATAATGTTATTTTAAACGGTTATAGTGTGTTGATGGTTATTAAAAACTCATTTTCTTCTACACCTTCATCATGCGCAATTACTACAACCACAACCCTGTGACAATATGCTCCATGTAACAAGCTCATAGTAATTCATAATTCCAGCAATTATGAAGACACTTTGTATTGTATTGACAAAATGTGTCCACTAAAAAATTATTTGAGCTCTAGGATCAAGTTCTCATAATTTGTGCGTTTGTGTTAACAAACTACCCACTAGTAAAACAGCTTAATAAAGGTAACAAATATTTCACATTTAAACTTGCTAAACATTTTATTTAAAAGTAGAGTTTTGTTTATAGTAACTTTTTTTTTTTTTAATTGAATATATTTATTTATTTATTTTTTGAATTTTTTTAATTGTTTTTTGGAATATATATAATCCTTAAAACTAAAAATAGTATTGATATTTATTAGGCAAATAAAAAACTGAAACAACCAGATAATATTAATAATAATAATAAATAAGACAGTTTTCCACAGTCACTGTTGTTATTGACTTCTAGTTTCTAGCTTTTCCCATAGACTTGCTTTTGATTAAAATTTGTGCAATCTATCTTAGAATCCATTAAATTCTGACAATAATTATATTTTTGCAACAGAAACACTACTGTGACTAAAGAGCTTACACATACTGGTGTGGATTAACCATATAATTTATTTGTATTATTATTTTATTTATTTATTTTGTGTTTGTGATAAAAAGTATTACATGTAAAGAATGATGCAAACACAGTCAGCTGTAATATGCTGCACCTAATGTGAGAGGAATTTTAATTGACTGCATATAAAGACTCTGTTCTTTGCAACCAAAATGAATGAGTTGCAGTCTGACCAGGCAAGACAGTCTCATCACTGCCTGCACTCGTTCACTATATCACCAGCTCTATTGTATGCTTTCTCTCACAGCTCTGATTGCGCAACACTCTTTGCTATAGCGAGCTGGCTTTGTCTTCATTGTGGTTATGTGACACAGTGCTCTGTTACCATGCACTACGAGTAAATCTCATTTTCCAGTGTGCTATAGCTCTTCAGGGCAGCACACCATTCCATTTTAAGGTGCTTATATTAAGACTTAACAATAAAAGAACAAATATGTTATTTGGGAACATGAAACCACATTTTG